AAATTAAACTTATTTTAGCAGTTTTTGGCAAATAAACTTAAATATTTTAATTAATTGAACGGTAAAAAATACGTCTAATACGTTTTGAAAAGTCCCGTATATAGGGCCATCCAGACAACGTGTTTTTTAAAGTCATGTCATGTGATACTGATAGTCAAGTGTAGAGTAATTAATCATCATCGGATCATCCAGTTGATGATCATGATTCAAATTTCAATGTGTCATGTGTGATGACTGATAGAAAACATACAAATTAGTATAAAACATAAAATAAATTGGAAAAAACTTCAGATAACATCATTAATTTAAAGTTTTAATTTCACTCTTAACTTAAACTAGAACTAAGCAGTGTTAAACATACCAAAGGCCATTAAATACTCATATTTACAAGTGCTGGATGAATTACCATAGTATTAGTACCTCAATGCATTTGCTAACAGTAACAACAATGTCCGATACAATGGAATGAGCGTAGTAATAGATTTAAGATTAAATTATCATGAGGCCCAATTATAATTACTCCATTGTATCTATATAATTGATAGTGAACAATATTTGGTTTGGCCGTTTATAGGCCATATAGCGTCTGTATCTTGGCAAGATTGTATCTTGGCGATATTATAATAGTAGCCATATAATAGATGCCGTATAATGGCCAAACATACTGCCTCAATTTCCTGTTGAGACGATGCTGCATGGTCTCAAGTGATTTGCTTGATCATCTCAATAAACTCGCCAAAGTCAATACAACCGTCTTTGTTAGTATCAACGTAATACATAACCTCGTCCACTTCCTCCGCATCCATTTTCAGGTCTTCAGCTACCTGATACTGTTTTTAGGGTTAATATAAGCAAGGCTGTAAAATTTTCGTCAAAAGTACGGCGCATTATTAGAGTTTTCAAAAAATACGCGAATAATTCGCCAATTTACTAATTCAAGTTTTAATTTTTAGGGCTGTTAAATTTGCCAAAAAATGCGCGGGAAATTCGATAAAAATGCGGCTGAGGGAACGCGCAGCATTTTCGAGTTTGATCTTTATTTGATCTCTTAAGCCGCGTCTCCGCAGTAAGTTTAAAATTATTTGTGATTTCCTGTTCCCGTATTTTCTAAGTCAACTTTTTTCAAAGTTTTTCTGGAAACTACTTTTGTTCATGTTTCATGCTACCCTGATCATTATAGGCGGTGCACGATAAAAATAAACTTGCTCGGATTTTCAAAATTTTTGTACCATCGTTTTCTAGAGACTGTGAGAATTTTCACAGTAGCAAATTTATTATGCCTGTTTGGAATGATCAGTGAGTTTCGCCTAGGTGCCATATTTGATGGTGCGCGGCTTTTGGAGCAAAATTAGGTGTAAAAGTCGCGTAATTTGACGAAATTCGTTGATTTTTGTCGTATTATTCTGTCATATCTTCCGTTCGATCCTGAACATAAATCATGCTGAAAATTTGTCAAAACCTTCCAATCATACTTAACTACCGAACCTAATTTAGTTGGGAGAGATTGGGCTTGATTAAGAGGTCTAAAAATGACAAAATAGGTATAAATTCGTTGATAACTCAATAGTAGAGGCTCTTACGGGCAAAAAGACGTGTTTTCTGCTATGAGTTTAGAGACCTAACTATTAATTGGACACAATAGTATGATGTGTAAGGATCGAGAATATGTTAAGAAATATAAATATAGCCTTATAAGTCACGTGTTATTCCAATGCGCGTTTTAAACTTTGACAGTCTATAACTCTTAGGCCTATAAAGTAATTATATTCATGTTATAAATCAAGAGGCTTGCATATAATGAACATATTGACACGGGTGCAGAGTTGAGTCTGTACGGAACCTAGTAGTTTCAGATCCTTGTTTAACTTGCCGTACAGCAAGGTCATCCACTACTTTAGCCCGGCGAGGCACATAACTCCCTCTACAACTCCATGACAAATGTTTCATATATACTAGCCGAGTTCACAAGTTATATCCTTGTGTTTGAGAAGAGCTCGTTAGAACTGCTTCCTTTCCCTTCAGTATCCCACAGTCTTTCGAGTTTCGTAACTGCCAGAGAACTCTCTTAAACAATTACTAGACTCGGTGATTATAAATCAAGAGGCTTGCATATAATGAACATATTGACACGGGTGCAGAGTTGAGTCTGTACGGAACCTAGTAGTTTCAGATCCTTGTTTAACTTGCCGTACAGTTATTTCAGCAATACGATCACATTATTTTCTATTTGGTGTGAAAATATGAGCTAGAACGGACATAATCTCGCTGAGTTATGGAGCTGTTTGAAATTTATGATGAACGCGCGGGTGCCCATTGATAACAACTAAATGCTTTTGCGCGTAGTGCGCGTCGAAAATTAGGCAAAAACGCTTGCGGAGTGACAATATTCTAACTTCTATAAAGTATATGAAGTGGGTACTTCTCGGAAAGGAAAATTTCAGTCAAACACGATGTGACTATTGTTGGGTTGATTTAATACAACTGCAAAAAATCATTCAAACTTTAAGCAAAAAAGGGCACATTTTTACCACTTTTTTGGATTTTTACCTGCGTAAAAACAGAGCGATTTGTTTTATTTTTATATCATCTTGTGCGGCTATGTTTTAGCTATTGCCATGCAAATTTTGCCGACATGCCAACAAAATTAACTTGCTCAAAATATCAAAAAACATGGTTTTTTGGCCTATTTTTGGCCCAAAAATCGGTTTTTTGCGATTTTACCCGCGTAAACTCAGTCCAATCATTTCGAAACCACTTTCAATTGATTCTACGGTCAAAAATACGTCTAGGAAGGTATATCTGGGGTCCCTAGCGTATCGAGCAGACAATGCCCGTAAGAGCCTCTACTACAAATTCTGAGCATCGAAATTGCTCAAACTAAATTAGGTTCAGTAGAACATAAATGTTTACGTAAGCTGACCAAATTTCAACAAAATTGTTATATGGGAAGTATAATAACTTTTCGATTGTTTCCAAAATAATGTGCTGGCCGAAATAAGAGCAAAAAAACCATTCAATGGTCAGCGCGCGCGTTTTATTGTCGATGGCGCACTGCCTAATCATTATGTCTATGAGCCGAAAATATTTTTACGGTTTTCGAAGTCCGCACCTACCTACCCGGCCTTCGATATACGATTTTGGACTCGAGGGTTCCCCTTTGTAATGCAATTCAATCTCGGAAGGCAGGGCTCCCGCCTCCCCTTCGCAATACAAGCTCGGAAGCGGTAGCTCTGCCTTCAAAGGTGCGTATCGTCATCGAGAATGACTCGGACCGAACATTTTCTAAGTCAACATTTTTCAAAGTTTTCTTGGAAACTACTATTGTTCATGTTTTATGCTACTCTGATGATTATGCTACCCTGATGATTATGCTACCCTGATCATTATTAGCTGAAAATATTTTTTTCGGTTTTCTGAAGTACGTACCTACATTCGAAACTCGAAATGTTGTGGATGTGATTGGTTTAATATACTTATAGAAAACGTGATATTTGGTTCTCAGATTTAAAGGAACATGTGCGATTCATGTCGCAGAGAACTGAAAAAATCGCGATTTGTCACGAGGCCAGGATTTGAGAAAATCGCGATTTGTCGCAGCAAACGTGAAAAATCGCGATTTTTTGCGAAGAATGGGAAAAATCGAAATTCCGTACATGCTGCAATTTCTTTTTGTCCTTGCCCGAAAATGTTTTGAAATTCAGGATGTAACAAAATATTTAGAATTTGGCCCCCACATGGAGAAAATCATTCCTAGTCATACACCCCTGACAAAGGGAAAATGCGCCCTTTTCGAGTATTAATGAAACTGTTCAACGTTTCAATGTAACAACATCATTTTTATAATGTTACATAAAATTTATCAGTCAACCTTAGCTTTATTTATAATTTACAGTTACACGTTCGGAATTTTTGTAAAGTCTCGGATTTCATGTCGTGAAAAGAAAAAACATGCTTTTTGGCGCTGTCATGGATTATGAGTTTCCGAAGTAAATTTCTAAATCCCGGGTTAAGGCTGCAAATTGTTTAAGTAAAGTCAAACTTAAAGTAGAGGGTTAAGGTTAAGAATGGAATTTGGTTAAGACCAAGATAAACAATGTTACACTGAAACTTACTCTTACTACAGGCACAGCTATTCTTTAATTGGAGCTATATACAGGGTGTTTCAAAAATAATGTCCTGATTTTTAAAAACAATACATTTTTTTATAAAGGAGCAAAATGCCCATTATTGGTTGCCTTTAGTTCATAAAGCTTACAAATTTAATTTGTTAAGCTCATTTGTTCCAGCGATTCAACTTTGTTAATTTTTTAATTCTTTACAAGACGTCGTATTGTCCTTTCATCATTGCTGAATTTAGACTTGTCCTTTTTCTGTAGCAAACGCCTAGCACTTGTCACACTGCTTCCACAAATCCACTAAGTCTTCACAATATCGAGTTTTGTTTCTTTTGTGAACCCCAAAATTATTGTTTTTTAAAATCAGGACATTATTTTTGAAACACCCTGTATTTGTTTTTCTTTGTGTTTTTGTCTTAAAGCTTCAAAACCTTATAATATTAACCTTCATCCTTAACTTATTATGCTTTTGATTATGCACTGCAGCAAGCTAGTTATTTATATGTTCTTATAGTAGGGGGTGGCGCACGATACTACTTATAGGCAATCTTTCATTAGCCTGGTTAAGTGGTGTAATTATAAAATCGAATGTGTATTTATTTTATAAATATGATATGCTCCTTAAATAAAAATCCGCCATAATAGTAATTTGCCTTTTAGACAATTAATTTGAGTACGAAAGAAATTTTCAATATGCGTTCCAAAAAGTGCAAATATGAATTAGCTATTTCTAAAAAATTGTTCAATTCATTAATACTTTCATTTCACTTAAACATTGACATCGTGAAATCTTTGTATTATTTTTAAAATAATTTTCTCATTTGTCATCAATTCATTAATTCAACTATACTTTTATTGTCATATCGACACAAAAGACAAAACCTCTTTTTACACATTACGTTGAAATTGAAATTATCATCACATGACGGCAATAATATCAGTCATCAAGTTATAATTATCAAATTTTATTAAACATATCCGCACATATATTTTGGTAAAAAGTATAAAACAAAATAAATATTATCACGGCCGCGAAAGAGTGGGTTCTTTGCTGCTATACAAGTTGGACAGAAGGAAACATTTCCTCTTATAAATCTAGTTCTGTAAATACAATAAATTATCTAAGTTCTCGGCTGCTTTCCACGAAACTATGTAATTAAAAGCTGATCTTTCATACCATTTTTCCAAGGTAATACAGTAACATTAGCCTAAAGAAATAAGCGGAAAGAGAACTTATAGATTTAAACTGCTGATATTTTGTCTAATATTATCCAAAAGAAAGCTCCACAGTAACAAAGGAAATTATTTTGAACCAGATTAATAGAAGAGTACATCCAGTGTACATAGGGTCGCGGTTAAATGGAAAACATCGCGGTAGAGTCTATTTAACTTCAAAATGACTTAACGATAAAGCTGAAATTAAAATAATTCAAATCACAATCTACTATAAAGTTGAATAAACGCGTTTTACAGTATTGCTACAGTTGCAAAGACATATTCTGTCTCTGGTGTTATGACACTTAGAGTTTTGGTAAAAAATGAAGTTAGCTCTTGTTTAAGGGGAGTTATATAGACATAGTCTATTATAGACGCCCCCTTAGACAGCAGTCCTCTAGACTACCCACTAGTTGATGCACTACTGGGTCTACTGATGCACTACTGGGTCGCACCACGCATCAAATAATGCTCTCGTAGCGGCGCAGCCCAGTAGTGAACCGCGCTACAAACGCCCCTCTAGCTATACCCCTCTAGCTACGCCCGTACTGATCTAGGTACACTCCTCTAATCATGATCATGATCCTCCCCCTCTATATCGCTCTCAACCTCACTGTTACTCTCCGCCATGTAGTTGCAATCCTCCATCGCCACCAGGAACTCCTCGTAGTGTATTTTCTCGTCTCCGTTGGTATCGATGTAAGAAATGATCTCATCAGCTTCCGCCTCCTCAAGCGCTTCTCCTCCGAACTACAAGCACAGATGGTGTGGTGAGATGGTGTGGTGGTGTGATAGCAGCACATTGATTATAACTCACTCAAAAGTCAGCCAACTCGGTGTAGCGGAAAATTGTAGCGGAAAACACATGTTTAATAGACTAACAGGTTGATTTGTTTGGCACGTTCAGATTTCTCTGATCGATTTTCATTTTCATGGGTGAACATATTCAGCCATATTAGGACAGTTCAGTTCATGTAAAGGTAAAGGCCTAGTGAACATTTACACCGTCAATTCTGGTATCAGTGTGAATTAGATGGGACCGTTAGAATTAGCTTCTTTACATTGTAACCTTTACAATAGGGTTAGGTTTCTTTACAAGCCTCATGATATCCGAACCTTCCAACTCGCCGAATTGGCAACGTTCCAACTCGAGCCATGAAAACGACACAGAACCTAAATTTTCTGAAACAATTTCCTGGACAGCACACCACGTTAATATTTCTCTGCAATACCCCTCTTTGTTAAAAACACCTCTTCTCTTTAATACGAGCAGCATATTCCACCCCACACCGCGTGGTGTTTAGCACACATCAACTCAACATGAGCTACTCTATGCTACGACACGTGTCAGACAGAACCAAACAGCCCGTTTTCGTCCTGGTCCAACTCCTCCTCATCCGCAATGCATTTCAGCATCATGACAATAAATTCGTCTATGTCTATTTTGCCGTCTCCGTTCTTGTCCACGTAGCCGATGATTTCCTCCGCTTCTTCGTCGCACATGGGTTCGCCCATCTGTGTTCAGAAAGGGTTACTAAAGAATCTCTCACACTAACTAAACGTGCTGCCCTTCAATCTCTCATGCCCTTCGTATCAGCGTGCTTCTCATCCCTTCATTCGCGTTCTCACTTGATAGCTTCATGCATGCAATGCTCGCTATTTAATCGCGTTCTCACTTGATAGCTTCATGCATGCAATGCTCGCTATTTAATCGCGTTCTCACTTGATAGCTTCATGCATGCAATGCTCGCTATTTAATTGCGTTCTCACTTGATAGCTTCATGCATGCAATGCTCGCTATTTAATTGCGTTCTCACTTGATAGCTTCATGCATGCAATGCTCGCTATTTAATTGCGTTCTCACTTGATAGCTTCATGCATGCAATGCTCGCTATTTAATTGCGTTCTCACTTGATAGCTTCATGCATGCAATGCTCGCTATTTAATTGCGTTCTCACTTGATAGCTTCATGCATGCAATGCTCGCTATTTAATTGCGTTCTCACTTGATAGCTTCATGCATGCAATGCTCGCTATTTAATTGCGTTCTCACTTGATAGCTTCATGCATGGAATGCTCGCTATTTAATTGCGTTCTCACTTGATAGCTTCATGCATGCAATGCTCGCTATTTAATTGCGTTCTCACTTGATAGCTTCATGCATGCAATGCTCGCTATTTAATTGCGTTCTCACTTGATAGCTTCATGCATGCAATGCTCGCTATTTAATTGCGTTCTCACTTGACAGCTTCATGCATGCAATGCTCGCTATTTAATTGCGTTCTCACTTAATAGCTTTATGCATGCAATGCTCGCTATTTAATTGCATAGCGCAAAACTCGCATTCTATCTAGATCACCTCATGCAGTACTCACCTTCTCACTAAATTATTTCATGCAGCATTCTTGCAATTATTTAATTTATCTCTCTGCGTGCTTTATTCTCATTGTAACTATGCATTTAAAAATTAAGCATCGTTTGAATAATTCACGTCCTGACACTCGTATTTTAAATCACACATGCGCTCTGAAACCACTTATATAAATTTTGTCTTCGAATTTTATTTACGTCATCCATTTTGATTTATATTTTATCTGGAGCCCTTTTTCAAATAGTACCGACGGAATACGACTTAACAGATTGTAGTCAGGCTGAATCAGGCTCCATCAGGAAGACTTAAGATAGGCACGAATCAGGAGACTGCAGTAACACTGTAATCAACCAGTTCTGCAACAACATTCTAATAGTAGTATAGTACTATGATGAGGTATTACATGCATGAGCGACCCTTTAACCAATTCATATATTATTTTTTAGATAGCTGATCAAGCCCATAAATTACAGTATTGATGAAGTAACTGTCTGTTGATGTGAAGGGCGTGGTCTTCAAAGCTATAAAACCGTAGCAAACGTAAAATCAAAGCATTTTTAAGCGGGTTGACATGCAAAAAGTCCAAAGTAATTGTAAGTTGAAAAATACAGCGGTATGTTTAGTTATGTAAATATGTAAGTCAATCTATTAATCTACGGAGCATAGTCAATGAGTCAGTCTAATTTCAGGTTAACAAGGAATAATGCTGAGTCTTAAATGCCATGCAGTTAAACTATTTCCCACTAATGCTCATGCTTCTCACCCAGTAAAATTTTCATGCATAATATAACAAAATTTTGATAATTTTGTTTATAAATATTTATTTTGAATCAGCAAAACCGCACTCACAAACTCAATTACAAAAGTGCAAGTAATGCTACCTAAAATCACACATTGTACCAAAACACACGCTAATTACTATGAAACACACGCTAATTACTATAAAACACACGCTAATTACTATAAAACACACGATAATTACTATAAACCACAATACTTCACTCAAAGGAGCACTTATTTATTTACTCAATCAAATACTCACCTTTGTTAGAATCCTCTTGAGCTCGTCACTCGTGATGAAACCATCGTTGTCTTTATCAAATACTTTGAATGCTTCCCTTATTTCTTCTTCTGTACTTGGCATTGCGTACCTATGATTTGATGTGTCAGTTTTCTCATTAAACTAATTCTGATTTAAAGATTAGAATCGTCAGATGCTTGAGAAATCAGTACAGGATAAGCTGGTCAGCAAAATTAAATCAATTTCGTGGCATTGGAAATTAGTGATATCGCTTTAATTTCTAAAACAATTCAATGATATCTATTGAAAGATTGAATACGTTATTAATTAAAGATCACGAATACGATGTTATTTTCTAGTTGCAATACTAATACTAATGTACTAAACAACAACAAACTTTCAAAACCTTTCGTTAAGTTCGATGAATTCTTTTAATGAGATAGTTCCATCACCGTTCACATCTACCTGATAAAATTTCCAAGTTGTAATCAAATTGGAAAATTAATTTAATTCGTTTGCAAACCTCGTATGAACCAGGACATCCGTAACATTAATTAATGTTAATTAATTAGTGGACCACGCACAGTGGACCACGTACAGGATTTAGTTTATAGGTGATTGGTTTATTATAACCGGCATCTCAGCTTACAAGTTGAAACAATTAATTAATTGCTTAATACTTATTAGATGCCATCAGATCAATGATTAATGACCATTAGTTTAAACTGTTTAATTAGTAATCAATCTGATGATTAGATAGTTGGTAGTCCTGTATTCCTTATCCATATAAATTGTAATACCTGATTAATGCTTAAATTATTATATTATATCTTTTTGCATAATATATCCGATTAATAATTTTGAATTGGATTCGGAAATTAGATATCGAAAAATAAATGCTTAGCAAGGGGTAAAATTACTATACTACTGCTGAGGCTGACCATTAATTTAAAATGTTCAATTAATACTAAATCTGACTAATTAGCTAGTCAATTGATTAATTAATTAATCAAACTAACTGACCTGGTTGAATAATATCCTTATGTCTCCTTCATTCGACAGAAATCCAGATTTTACCCACAACTGTTTGAACTCCTGTTGAGTTAAAAATGTTTAGAAGCTGACCCAGTCAAGCAATCATAAAGCATAATATTCAATGGTACAAACAAAAAAGTATCTCAAACCTGTACTACACTAAAACCCCATTTCAGTGATGTATCCCTAAATATTCACTAATTAACTAAATAATGTAGTAACTAATGCATAATAATATGGAGGTGGCACCATCACTTTTGAGATGCGTCTCTATCTTGAAGTAGATAGGAAATATTATTTCCTATCTGCTTCAAGCTAGAGACTAACCTCGAAGGTGATGGTGCCGTCTCCATCGTTATCCATGCCCTGGAAGGCGGCAGTGTAGTCCTGTACTCGTCGCTCATAGTCAGGATCCTTGTGTACGTCTGAAGAGGGGTTATAGTTTAGACAGAGGAGTATACCTTACACGACATTTTTGTGGCGGACCAATTTGCGACGACCGAAATTTTGGCGGTCCGAAAATATGGCGAAATTGAACAAAAACCGTCACATTTCGGACGTCACAGAAAATAAGGGTATTTTTCATCATTTTGTTTTCTGACACAAAGCTAAAGGAAATTCAAACTTTTCTAAAAATCGGTAAAATCATGTTGAAACAAAATGAAACTTATAAATCGATTTCTTCATCTTCCTCTAAGGGGTCCGGCTCGACTCTTTCAGTTTCACTTATTGAGTTTGGTATTAAATTGTTTATCTTGACTTAGTCTCTTATAAGACGTTTATGTTAGCACATAAATGTAATTTATTGTAAATTTAAAACGTATTACTTGACCTTAAATTCATCATGGAATATTGTGTTTATTTGTCCCACCATCATATCACTAACTTTTCAAGAACAAAATGAATCGATGAAGCCACAATTATTGGAATAAGCTAAAAATAATGCGACGGATTCTATTACGACGACCGAAATTTTGGCGGTCCGAAAATATGGCGAAATTTCGGGAAAACCGTCGCATTTCGTACGTTATAAAAATGTCTTGTAAGGTAAGTACATTATTACAGAGTGGAAAAGTATCAATCTCTTCGAAATTTTTCAATGCTGAAATGTGAACTGAGACCTGATCTTTGAATTTACTAAAGATAAAGACAAAGTGCAGTCGTATTTTTATCAATATTGCTTCGATACACAAGAATTTATAGACCACATCAGTTTAGATAAAATATTGACACTTCTTAACTAAAATGATAATAAAATGTGAGCTAATAGTTACTTTGTAAGACTACAATTAAATCAGTGAGAACATAATGGCACCTAGAAATTAGGTTTTTTAGCGCGTTCAATAAACTGTTCTCTATTTTTAATATTATATTTATATAATGTTATGTACCCTAAAATAACCCATGTTGGCTAACACTACCAGTATAACTGATAGTGATATCCGCAATATAAACTTATAAACAATGTTTTGGCACGAATTCAGGATTCCGCACACCTTATAATGCACTGTTTCAGTGTACTGTACTAGTGAACTGTACTAGTGCACTGTACTAGTGCACTGTATGATCTACCTTTAAATTGATCTAAAAACTCTCCGTGCTCTTCTTCGCTCTCTCTGTCTTTAACATGGTGACGTTCCCGGAACTTTATAAAGACAGGCATTGCTCACGTGACCCCTTAGTGAACAGGGTGACTATTTAGTGACCCCTTAGTGAACAGGGTGACTATTTAGTGACCCCTTAGTGAACAGGGTGACTATTTAGTGACCCCTTAGTGAACAGGGTGACTATTTGTACAGTCCAATCGGACACTTAAAACCGATTTGAACAGTCCAATTGGAAGCTGGTGACCGATTTTCGAACCAAAAACAGTTTTTGTAAGTTCGATGTTTAGTCCGAGACTTCTATTTTGACTACTTTTTGTGACGATATCTTACAACACACATGCTAAACAGTTTACATGTATGCTGCACATTTTGGTCACTTGTATGTTATGCTGTTATGGACGCTGCACTTGTCTGGGTGCTGCCCTTTTTGAACACTAACATACACAGTTGATGTGTGAGGTTTTTAAAAATGCAACAAAAACAGTCGGTATATTTAGTAATTCATTTTTGGTTGGAAACTTTATTAAAGTTTTTTTTGGTGAACCGGGACGATGCCCAAATGGTTTTAATGACAAATTTTAATGATGAAAATTAAAAACGAGTAAAAAATGAGCTCTCATTAGAGCACTAGTAGATATATATATATATATATAGTTATATGAACAGGGTGACTATTTAACGTTATATGACAAAGTTTAACCTGATTTAACAAATTTTGTGGAATTTTGTGGAAACTATGCACTCCAATGGCCAGATAACATAACTTATTATAATATGTAATTACTTACTTACTTATATATAACTTATATTTTGAATTGCAACAAGTCCCCATCCTCTTCAAACATTTAACTAAACAAAACATGAAAAACAGAAACAATGACATACAAATAATAACATATAAATAATAACGAAATTGTAAAACTACACTCATTTAACTTCTTCGTTATGAATTGTCCCTCCTTTGATGTAGTGGTGGTTGTTTGGCTGTTCTTGTTGTGCAGGTGTGGGTTATACATGTGGGTTATATTTATATATATCAGGTCCTGAACAACAAGTCTCTAACTCTGTCCTCCTGCAAGTAGACTACCCATTTCTGATTCTCAATCAACTGCTTCTTGGTTGAACTTAGATCGATCTCCATCTGCTTTAACTTTTACCATTTTCTTGAAATGTAGAGTTGTCACGTCAACTGGTGCTTCCCATGTGAGCAGATTCAGTGCTTTTGCCGTCCAAGACTCCGCGTTGAACTTAATACTGTCGATATCCTTGTCGTCCAAAACTTTCATGACGTAAACAAAATGAGAGACACAATATATCTCGCAGATAAGAGTGCAAACGTCTGATATAAGTGTAGGGCTCAACGCCTGAACTTATATTATTATTATTTATATTATACTGGTCAGCACTTACCCAGTACAGTAATATCTATATCAAGGGGAATTAGCTATTTAATTCAATTACGAAATTATATACTGGATTCTTCCTGTATTTAAACATAAACAGCTTACTTCTTTGATACCATCTTTTAATCTAAACAATATCCCTCTTATTCACTAAAGAGTATGTGACCGACTACAGTATGTGACCGACTGCCGTGATTATACAGAAGTGATTAGAGAGAGTCTGGAACAGTTGAATGACCCGGAATTAGTAGGTATGTCAGACGAGGATTCCCAAGGGATAAGGCGGTGTGTGTGTGTTACACTAGTAAAGGTATAATGTACCTGGTACCTACTTTTTAACAATCACCACAGTACCGGTCAACCTGGGTACTGTACAAGGTACCCATTACCCATGAATAGGAGATTCGGCAGAGAGAAATATTATACTGAGTTTTACTGAAATTGTTAGATTAATCGCTTAATTGTTAGATTAATTGCTTAATTGTTAGATTAATTGCTTAATTGTTAGATTAATCGCTTAATTGTTAGATTAATTGCTTAATTGTTAGATTAATTGCTTAATTGGACTCTCTCCGCTGGATATTCGTTCTGTAACAGCTGATATTATATTAGGAGGTAGTGCACTATTATCTATTATAGGTAGCTATTAGGTGCACTATACCTACCTATTTAAATTACAACTTCTCTGTATTCAGGTAGGGCTAGTTTAACTTGTGATTGATACGATGTTTTAGCAAACCTCTAAAGATCCAATACAAAGATTTAAAAGATTAGATCTAATATTCAGTATCGAAGAAGAGGAATAGTACCTGCTTGAAGCCTGTAGACCTCATTAACAGGTATAAGAAGAAGAGGAATAGTACCTGATTGAAGCCTGTAGACCTCATTAACGGGTATAAGAAGAAGAGGAATAGTACCTGATTGAAGCCTGTAGACCTCATTAACGGGTATAAGAAGAAGAGGAATAGTACCTGATTGAAGCCTGTAGACCTCATTAACGGGTATAAGAAGAAGAGGATTAGTACCTGATTGAAGCCTGTAGACCTCATTAACGGGTATAAGAAGAAGAGGAATAGTACCTGATTGAAGCCTGTAGACCTCATTAACGGGTATAAACGTAACCCCAGACTCTGAATCCCCGTGGTCCGAGCTATCATGGTTCTTGTTACCCCCATACTGTCGGAGCCTTACGAACACAGGCATGACTAGATAACACTAGCAAATTCCTCCTATTAGGACACGGTTTCTTCTGCAAAGTTATCCGCGGTCACTTCTCTACTAAACTCCGCAAAGTTATAATAAACTCCGCAAAGTTATTCCCGGCTACTAAGTGTGAGATTTCAAGCAGGGAGAGAGTAGTAACAAGGCAAAAACAAAGTCGAACAAGTCAGAATATACATGATAACGTGCTACGGAGAAAAGAGAGGAAAGGGAGGAGGTGTATAAAAACTGACTGGGCTAATCAGTAATACTAAAATACCAACAGGAATTCCAAAAATTATATTCCCCTACACATATTATGTGCATGCAATTGCAATTGAGCTGCTTTCCCGACAAAGACCTGTAAACGGTTGACAGTAATTGGTTCGAGGGGTAGTATGGTTTCAGTAAACTGTGCCAATGGAGAAAATATCACGTGGTCATGGTAACCGTAGAGAAACTGAGCGGATTTGTAGATCTTTACCTTTACTGTTCCTGCCATTTCCGGGTAAAATATCCACCTACTAGTTTATAAGAGGGGAGGTGCGGAACTACACACGTGATCTGTTAACCAGTACCTTGCAGGCTTGTTGAGATGACTGTGAAAACACACGTACATTGTGTATACTATCAGTACCGTCTGAACACTGAAGCCACAGCTGTGCGTGCTAAACGTTTGCCATTACAAGGAATTCACTCAATTAGGCCGTTCTGACTTTTGTGGTTAAAATTAGAATGCCGTGCGAGAGAGGGGGTGAAATGTGGGGGAATAAGAAAAAATGTGTTTGCTTTTTATAGATGTATGGTGGTGTTGGTGTCGTTAAAAGGTTTAAAGTATTTACTGTTAAGTTGAACATGTAAAGGTTTATCAGTTTTAGTAACACTATGTTATTTATAAAGACACTACACTTCAGGATAACATTACAGCTTTATATCCACCAGCGGGCTATATTTGCTTTATATACATAATTATAATGGGGTTCCTACTAGCCTCACAACAAAAGACCTCCCAAGTTATTAAATTGAGGTTACAGAAACGTAGAAAAGTTCTCTTGGTGAAATATAAGTGGACAATAATAACTATAATACAGCTGGGAGAGAGGAAGGACTCACGTAGATTCTTTAGTAAGAGAGCGATGGAATGATCCACTATGTGGAAAATAATAAATATAACACAGCTGGGAGAGAGGAAGGACTCACGTAGATTCTTTAGTA